GTCCCTTCCAGCTCCTCACATTCTGTGATTCCCCCAGCATTTCCTGAAAGGTGAAAAGGTAAAAGTGGGAGAGGGTTTCTGATACAGCTCAGAAAACCCAAGCAACTCAAACCAGTGACTCCTTTGATGCAGGCTTTCATTATTTTAGTTTAATTTTTAATTGTGTGTGACCTCACACAGAGTCCAGGGATGGAAACCAGGTCACTGATAGCAATTCAGGGCCGTGTTAAGAGTTTCGGTGACGGATGGAGACCAGATGTCCTTGATGGGACAGCCAATAGGTGGTGACTTGTAAGAGGATGATGATGGTCAGTCTGTCTGTCTGTCTCCCCCCAGACAAACCCAGTGGGACCCTCCTACCTGGGACAGCCCAGGGGATGACGCCAGCCTTGAACACGAAGCAGAAATGGACCTCGGGACCCCGACGTACGACGAAAACCCCATGAAGGTAAGCGCGGGGTCAGTGAGGGAGATTGGCCATGAACAGAAGCTGGTGCTGTTGTTGAGGTCGGGATGGTTTTAGAGCGGTGACAGAGGGACAGAAGTGACCCAAGATGAGTTGTAGTGGCTCTGCTGACCATAGGACCACGATTTTTTGGTGCTTTAAAATACTCTGTGATGCTGAAGAGCGACTTCCCCTCCTTGCTGCCAGGTTGGGCCCTGGTGGCAAATGATCGAGCAGAGATTTTTGGGGTGCTCTCATCGCCTCGTCCTTTTGGGTGCTGGCATGGTGAAGACCCTGGTGCTCCTTTGCTCACCTTTTGGGTTGCTATGACCCCAAATTGGGTCACCACAGCACTTTTTTGGGGGCGGTGGTTGATGCCAAGCGTTGCTGCATCCTCATGTGTGGCCATGACCTTCACACTGGCCAAAAAAGGAGGCAGCAGTTGCTGAGCCCCTATAGATAAATCATCCCTTATACCTTCCTGATTCCTTAAGAAGAGAGAAGAGCCATGGAAATTGAGGTTTGTCAGGTTTAAACTCTTGGGGAGCAATTTTCTTGATGCTCCACACACCCAGAGCTGATTTTTCCCATAGGGACTGAAGGCACCATCCACCCTACAACACCCAGCAGCATCTCCCACCTCTGCCATCGCCTTCCCATGCTCTAAGGCTTAACCCAATCCTCAAAAAAAGCCTTTTAAATTCTTTCCCTCCACTAAACCACAGCCCCAAGTGCCACATCCACCACTGCTTGAACCCCTCCAGGGATGGGGACTCCACCACTGCCCTGGGCAGCCCCTGAGAACCCTTTCAGTGAAGAAATCCCACCCCCATGATGAGAAGAAGCTGTTGAGAAGATGACTGGGCTTTTCTAAGCAAGAAAACAAAGAGTTTTAATGATGTTTTGCAGCTTGGGAGTCTTTTCCCTATTGATTTTTGAGGGAGCAGCAAGGGAAGATGCTTCTGTAAACCCAAGCAGGTGTTTACACTCCAGATTGCAAACTTTTGGGGTTTTTTGGGGTTTGAGGACAGGGGCGATGCTCAAAGGGCTCCACCTCAGGGCTGGCAGCTTCTGCCCAGTGTTTTCACTGCTCCCTCCACCCCCAAAATCCCAATTTTCAGGGATCCCTAAATCAGCGCCGCCCGCGTGGCTTCGGCTGAGCCCCCCCCCCGCCCCGGGTCACTTCAGGGCTTGAAATCTCAGCCGTGACTGCCTGAAATTTGGGCTTTTCCCAAATAATAATGGAAAATAATGATAAAATAATTAAAATATAACATATTTTATGTGTTAAAAGGATAATAGGAAATAACATTGAATTCCCACGTGCTCCGAGCTCCCACTCGCCTCCGCCCTGAAATCACAGCCACATCCCTTGGATCTGGGGGTTTTTTTAGCCTTATCTCCCCACCTTTTTCCAAAGGGATTAAACCCACCCAGCAGCTGCTATTCCTGGTGGTTTATTTCCTCCGAAACTCGCACACCAATACCATTATTTTGATGGAAAGGTGCAAAATCCCGCTCGTTATTTCCCTTTAAAACGCATTTTAAATTAGGATTTTTCCCTTGGAAAAGTTCTTGGGGAGGTTGGCAATGATGCCAAAATATTTATGCCCTTTTAAAATGCCAAAAAATTGGATTTATTGCATGGATGGGTTCAATTCTCCATCAGGGCAGGGTCAAGCCCTTGGGTAAGGAGGTTTTCATGTTAAAATCCAGATTAATTTGAGCGTGTGGAGGAATCAGCACCTTTGCACAAGAAATAGCTCGGGAGTGCAGTTCCTGTTGCTCTTTCTCGTGCCACCCCAAGTTTTGGCTAAATTTTGGCTTTGGCTCATGGTTTTCCCGTCCTTTGGGCTCGGTGATCTACTCGGGTTTGGCTTCTCCTCCCTTCTTTGGTCCCCAATAATTGGGGGTTGGACTGGGAGAGTGCTGGGATCAGACTGGGAATGTGCTGGGGTTGGACGGGGATTGAACTGGGAATGTGCTGGGATTGGACTGGGAGAGTACTGAGACTGGACTGGGATTGTGCTGGGATTGGAATGGGATAGTGGTAGGGTTGGACTGGGATTGAACTGGGGTTGTGCTGGGATTGGACTGGAGTGTGCTGGGATTGGACTGGAGTGTGCTGGGATTTGACTGGCAATGTGCTGGGATTGGACTGGGAGAGTTCTGGGATCAGACTGGGACTGTGCTGGGATTGGACTGGGAGAATACTGGGATTGGGCTGGGATTGTGCTGGGATTGGACTGGAATGTACTGGAATCAGAGTAAAAGAGTACTGAAACTGGACTGGGATTGTGCTGGGCTTGGACTGGAGAGTTCTGGGGTCAGACTGGGACTGTGCTGGGATTGGACTGGGAGTGGACTGGGATTGTGCTGGGATTGGACTGGGAATGTACTGGGATAGTGCTGGGGTTGGACTGGGATTGAACTGGGATTGTGCTGGGATTGGACTGGAATGTGCTAGGATTGGACTGGACTGTGCTGGGATCAGACTGGAAGAGTACTGAGACTGGACTGGGATTGTGCTGGGATTGGACTGGGAGAGTTCTGGGGTCAGACTGGGACTGTGTTGGGATTGGACTGGAGTGTGCTGAGATTGGACTGGGAATGTACTGGGATTGGACTGGGATAGTGCTGGGGTTGGACTGAACTGTGCTGGGGTTGGACTGGAGTGTTCTGGGACTGGGCCAGGAAGCTCACCAGGACCAGACTGGGAAGCACGCCCTGTTTGGGGTGGGGAGCATACCAGTGCTGGGCTGGGAAACGCACTGGGACCACAACGCCTGGACGGGGGTGGAGAGTGTGCTGGCACTGGGCTGAACTGGGAGCTTACCAGGACTGAACTGGGAGCTCACCAGGACTGAACTGGGAGCTCACCAGGACTGAACTGGGAGCTCACCAGGACTGAACTGGGAGCTCACCAGGACTGAACTGGGAATCTCACTGGGACTGAGCTGAAAGCTGACCATGAATGAACTGGGAAGCTCACCAAGCTAAACTGGGAACCTCACTGGGACTGAACTGGGGGCTCACCAGGACTAAACTGGGAGCTCACCAGGACTGAACTGCGAATCTCACTGGGACTGAACTGGGAGCTCACCAAGCTAAACTGGGAACCTCACTGGGACTGAACTGGGGGCTCACCAGGACTAAACTGGGAGCTCACCAGGACTGAACTGCGAATCTCACTGGGACTGAACTGGGAGCTCACCAAGCTAAACTGGGAACCTCACTGGGGCTGAACTGGGAGCTCACCATGGCTAAACAGGGAAGCTCCCCAGGAGTAAACTGGGAGCTCACCAGGACTGAACTGGGAATCTCACTGGGACTGAACTGGGAGGCTCACCAAGCTAAACTGGGAAGCTTCCCAGGACTGAATTGGGAGCTCCCCAGGACTAAACTGGAAGCTCATCAGGGTTAAACTGGGAGCTCACCAAGCTAAACTGGAAGCTCACTGGGAGTAAACTGTGGAGCCGTGTGGCAGGGGTGGGCAGCAGGAGCGGTGTCCCCAGAGTGGGGACAGCACTGGGGACCCCCACTCACCCCAGTACCATCCCAGTTACCCCCCTGTTTCTCTTCCCAGTCTTCCAAGAAGCCCAAGACAGCAGAGGCCGACACGTCCAGCGAGCTGGCCAAGAAGAGCAAGGAGGTGTTCAGGAAAGAGGTGGGTGTCCCAAATGTCCTGGGGGGGTCGTCACCGTCCCCCGGGGGTGGCAGGGGGTGACAAGGGGTGACAGGGGGTGACGGGGGTGTCGTTTGGCGCAGATGTCGCAGTTCATCGTGCAGTGCTTGAACCCCTACCGCAAACCCGACTGCAAGGCCGGGCGCATCACCACCACCGAGGACTTCAAACATCTGGCGCGCAAGGTGGGACTGGGAGGGGACTGGGGTGGGGATGGGTTGGGGATGAGGACTGGGATGGGGATGGGATGGGGACAGGGATGGTAACTGGGACTGGGATGGGACTGGAACTGGGATAGGGATGGGATGGGGATGGGATGGGGATGGGGACTGGGACTGGGGTTGGGACAGGGATGGGGATGGGTCAGGGATGAGACTGAGACTGGGATGGGATGGGGATGGGATGGGGACTGGGACTGGGGTTGGGACAGGGGTGG